CATATGAGATTAAATAGAAACATATATTGGTATTAATGTGTGTTTTACAAGGTGAAAACCCTGCCTTTCTACTAATTTATTAGATAATTAAGTAGTAAAAGACAATAGGAATGCATATGATTTTCCACTCTAGTAGATAATTCTAGATTGAAACTAGGATTCAAATTTCTACAGATCTCTGCAACAGAACTAAAGACTATCTTAGAAAATCCCATACTTTGTGAAATAGACTATAGTTACATCACTCAAAAAATGGAGACAACCACATTTGCCACCTTTCTAGCTGATAATAAGAAGGATCAATAAGATATATAGTTAGAACTGTTTAGAAGAACGGTGCTATAAAAATTCATTATCACTATTGAATCAAATGTTCTTTTTCACAATATTTTGATTGTTGAAAATATTATTTAATTTATACAGTGGAACATGTATAGAAATTTAATCATTTCTGCCAAACAATTGGATATAAATATAAGAGACAAGTTTTACATACAGAAAAGGGCCTGGGTAATATTTAGGAATAAACCTGAATATTCATTCAGTCCTAATGAAGTCAAAGTAACATCTTGTAATTGCGCCCCAGGCATCAACAAGCTCCAGATTAACTAACACTTCATACATACTGAGAAGAGGAAATGATTGACAAACTTTTTTCTCTTGAGGATTAGGAGCAAATTAAAAAAAAAAAAAATCCACAGTCCATGAACTATAAAATGCTAATGAATTAAAGTATTTGAGGTAGCACCACAAAGCCTTGTACTTTCGAGCATTATAATGCTTTTGCATTGTATATAAAAGTTAAAAGTAACTAGTGAGTGCTTATATTAGTTTTATTCTATGGCATTAAATGTTTATTGATTTAATCTTCACAAACATTCTACGGGATTTGATTGTTATTATTGTTTTACATAAAATGAATTTGAGGTATAGATTAAATAACTTGCTCCAAATCACACAGGTAAGCAGTGGTGTAAGCAGTAATCATGTCAAGTGTGGATTCAAAGCCTGAACTCAACCATGGCCTTGGTTAGAGGGCCATTTCGTGTGTGTTTTTAAAAGATCCCTCCTACAAGTGGATAAACTGCAAAAAAAAGGTGAAAGCCATGAATTGAATTGTGTCCTGCCAAATTGATAGGCTGGAGCCTCCAATGTGATGGTATTTGATGATGGTACCTTTGAGAGGTAATTAGGTTTAGATGAAGTTATAAAGGTGGGGCCTTCTTGGTGAGAGACATCAGCAGGATTACTCACACTCTCTCTCCCTGCCATAAGAAAACACAAGGAGAAGGTGATTGTGTATACACCAGGAAGAAGAGTCCTCACCAGAAATAGACCATGCTGGCACCTTGAGTTCAGACTTCCAGCCTCCAGAATCAGAAGTAAATTTTTATTGCTTTAGCCACCTGGTCTATGGTATTTTATTGTGACAGCCTGACCTAATACAATAAAGCAATTAAACAATGGTGGCTCCTATGCCAGATCTATTCTAAAAGGTTCTCCCTCTGAACAGAACAATTACAAAAAGGTTTCCCTGTGCAGAATGACACAATTCTTTGGATCTCGTTCCATGACTTGGTCAAAAAAGACACATGACTGGATTTTGTTTCTTTTATGCACTGTCTTGTATGAGGTAGAACCTGTATAATCCCAGCAAAGGTCCCAGTTATAACCCTTTGGAAATCCTGCCTAAAGCACAACAGAAACTCACTATTTACTGTGGAGCAGAACTAGGATGCTCGCATCTATCTCATACTTCATAATTAATTAATCACCCAACTTCTGTATCTTACATCCTAAATGTTTCTCAAATCCAGTCTTCTATCAGCTTGCCCTGTGTCCATTGCTCTATTTCAGGCCCTCGTCATCACTTGAATCATTTGCTGCTTAAATATCATCAATGGATCCTCACCACTTATAGGGTAAAATTCAAATTCTATAGCAGAATGTAGAAAGTCCTTCTCATCCTCTTCCTGCCCTTGTTTTCAGAATCAACCCTCACAGATATTGAACTCTGCTTTGTATACTCCGACTTCTGCACATCGTGTCTTTCTTTTCTTTCTTGAATGCTCAGGCATGTTCATGAACAGATGTTTGCTCGCTCTGTCCTCTGTATATTTCCATGCCATTACAGTAAAGTTCAGTTCCTTCCTGGATCCTCCCTAGCCCCTGTTGTAGACCTTACCCCTTTGTAAGATCCTTATTTACATGCATTTCTCTTTTGTCCACCTGTGAGCTAAAGGCAGGCATCTTTGCATTCTCAGCAAACAGATCAAACGCTGGTTTCCTGGTGTGCCCCCAATAGATGATTATTGATTGAATTAGCTACTTGATCCACATATTAATTATTTGCCTTATTTATACCAGAGTTGGTGTGGGTTTTTTTGCACACAAATAATGTATCTTTTCCTAAAATTAGTAACTTACAAGTTATTAAAATTATCATGCAAAATTAAATCATAGAACAAAAATAAGGTCAGAAAAGATGAATCCCACAAGTCAGCATGACACCACAGACTCCCACAGTGAATGTTATTTTCATTATCATCATCACATTACAGATAATATAATTGAAGCCTACATTAAACAACTTGCCCCAAATCACACAGATGAGACATGATAAAGGCAAGTGTGAATCCAGAGCTCAAATTCTTTTTAAACTCAAAGTCAATGAAGAGACAAAATAAAGATATTACAAAAGGCAAGCTCACTAGATTCATATTATATGAAGGGGGGAGAGGTGGACAGGAGTAAAATAAAAGGAAGAAAAACTAACCAGAGATTAACAGGCATTTTTAATACATCCACTCATTTAATTCTCATACCAGCAGCATAAGGTAGATATTATTACTTTCCTCATTTTATAGATGAGACAGAGAGGTAAAGAAACAGGTCCAAGGTCACCCAACTAGTAAGTGACAGAGGAAAGAAGTGAGCTCAGGAAATGGGACACTAAAGCGCACACTGTGAAGCACACCCACGCGGCTCAAACACAAATCGTTCCAGTGAACATCTCATAATTTATATTTATATTCACAGCTGAATTCCTATGACCAGCGTATAAACTATATACCTCCTGAGAATTCACTGCTCCCCCCTCCCCCTCTCCGCACCCCTCCCTCTCCCCTCCCCCTTCCGCTCCTGGAGCGACCAGGTTTCATTCTGAACATAAAGTTTTCCTGTAGCATAAGGAACGATGTTTATATTATACTAGTGAAATAGATTTTGTACTTGTAGAATCTACAACTTTAAATTAAACTGAAATTCCATATCTAAATAATCAAAGCAAAAAGTCCACAAGTGTCCATGAGTCTATGTAAGCTGATCACTACGTACCAGAGTATTTATATATGAAAAAAACATACGCACTACATATAAATACTATATACCTGTAATGAACGCAAATATTATATATTTGTTTACATATTGCCTATGAGACATGTAGGAGAGCAGTTCCTTTTGGACTCAATCTCACTTCTTTCAGCTGTTGAATAGTATTAAACCACACAAGCTTTCCCAAGTGTCTTTCTAAGATCCACTGCAGCAGCATCACCTGGGAGTTTGGCAGAAATGCAAATTTTGGCCTTTCCCTAGTACTCCTAATTTAAAATATGGGGATGGAGAAAATAAATCTGTGTTTTAGCAAGCCCCCCTGGTGATTCTTATGTACCCGGAAGCTTGAGAAGAACTGCTATCGTCATATAATCCCACTATTTTATGACAGCGCAGGGCCACATAAAAACAAAACAAAACAAAAACCAAACACACATGCATATTACCTTTTAGTAGAGAGATGTCCAAAATGACTTTATAGATATATCTAAGGATCATTACAGAGGAAAGGGGGTTGGACAGCTATGGACTGAGAAACCGACTGTCCACCTCCTAAATAGATAAGTGATCTCCTCCTTAAGATAGTACCTCCTGCTGTCTTAATAAGCTCTTCAAGGTTATCAGCCTCAATGCATATAGATAAAATTACAAAATTATGTTTCCACTCTTAAAACATAGCTTGCTTTCTATAAAATTGATAGAAATTGCTTTTCCATAGTATTTTGGTGAGCATTGGCAGCATTTTAATTGAACAAATGCTGAAAACTATGACCTTTCCAACTTTAGGCAATTTTGATCCTATCATACCTGAATATTGTACAAACAGACTCAGGCCACTATTTTCAGAACTAGACCAAATGAGTAGGAGTTCACTTACACCTTAGTATTTTCTCATTCAAATCATCAAATTGCATGCATTAGTCATGTAACAGCCAATTAGACACTCTATGTTTTTTACCAATTCATTAATCATTTTCAATTTTTTTTTTTTTACGGTGAAAAGTAAAAAGGGAAAAGGAAAGGCAGGAAAAGGGAGAAGATAATCCTGTAATTTGAAAGAATTCCCTGAAGTGTAAAATAATCTCAATTGTAACTGCAGAACAAAAATGTTTTACATAAATTATGTGGTTGGGGATAAGATTGATGTTGTACAAAGTCTGGGGGAGTACTGGGTGTGTGACATTTCAGGCACTGTCAGGTTGAATGGGAGAAGGAGAAAGAAATTATATTCTGCTTTAATCATATCGAGCTATATTAATTTAAACTGAAATAATAATGTCAGTGCTTTGAAAGAGTAATATTTTGATCTGTCTATGAAATTTTATCTATTAGTTATAACTGATAAAAATAGATTTTGGTTGCCCAAATTTAAAGTGCTTGAGGTAGAGTTTCATTAGTAATAAAAAGGATTAGAAACCAGAGCAGCTATTGTAATTTTGAGGAATCATCATATTTAGATACAAGAAAACTGGATACTTTCTAGGTGTTTATTAAAACTTGTTTTGTGATTATATATTATGCCTAAAATACCTATGTATTTTATTCCTGTATATCTATCAATAAAATTATAAGCTGATGAATATTATAAACAAGACTCTAGGTAACTTTATTAATAAAATTAATAGCAATTGATGGTATGTCATTAATTATGAGAATTTATGGCTTACCAACAATATAAATAATAGTTACCTTAACAAATGCAACAATTTTTAAGGAGATTGTTGCTAAATATAAGGAGTTCATCACAAAATCCATTAGATTCCACCAATCATGGATGTAATCTTGAAGACCGCCATCCCACATTTGTTTAATTTCTCCCCATATAAAACCTGCAATTATAAAAAGATTCATTATGAGTATGATTTTCAATCAAATCACTAAAAAAAGATATACAATTTAACAATTATATATCTTGAAGCTGTAAAAGACCATATAGTTACACTAAATGCAATGTCTATTTTATAGGCAATAATATTGCATCCCAGCCATACTTTAAGACTTTCAGTACACTAAACTAATTCTAGAAGATGCTGTTAGAGCAGCTTCACTTTCTTTTATCCCTCTAATAAATTCATAAAAATGTTCAATTTTTGAATTAAACTGTAATTCACTTATAACTATGCATTTCTCTCACAGAAAATACAATAATATTTTCTTATAAATAAGCACCCTGATATAAATTTTTCTCCCAAGTCAATATTACTCAAATATTCATGAAAATCAGTGTATCTAGAAAACATATCTAACTTTAGACAGTAAGTCAGGGTACCTTGTTGTGCTTGTTTAAGCAGTTAGCACCTTCAGAGACCTGATTTCAGTCTTGGAGAAAGGAAGGCTACAACACTAATGATAACTCATTAAAAGGCCTTATGTCTAATCACATTTTTAAGTAAGAAATGCTTTATTTTCAAGTTCTATGGGGTACTTGTAGAATATTAGTACAGATCATTATTTTATTTTCATAATCTTATTAAAATTTTATAATACTAATTTTTACAGCCTAATGAGAAAGAGAAATATCCAAAGTATATCTGGAATCCAGAAATATTAAAAGGAAAAATATGATATTATAACTACATTAATACAAGCAAACAATGAGGCTCCTTTAAGCTAACAATAGTCTAGAGTATAAAATATATAATACAGATTTCAACATCTGCCAGGGCTGTAGAAAGTTGGAGAGAGTATTGCTCCGACACTAAAAGCAAGACAAAGTTAGATTTACTATAAAATCATAACTTTTCATGCATTCGTGAGCTAGATGAGAAACAAAGAGCTTATACTTCAAAGAACACCATGTTGTGAGCTCTTAGCTCACCTATGGCAGAGTACAGGGGAAAGAGACACTGACACCATGCAAGAGAGTGAGAAGAATTCAGAAAAACTTTCTAAACAAAATTCCAAAGGCTGAGTGTGAGCTACCATGAGAGAATAGAGCCCCTGGGAGCCACAGACACAGGGTGGGCTCCATCCACTTGCATGCTCTTCTCGCAGTCCCCATCCACTGCTGCAGAGAAAGATTACAGTGTGAGCCTGGAGGAACAAAGTGGCTGCTTCTGTGGGAAAGGTGCAAAGCCTTGCCTGGGTTATTCTTGCCTAAGTTGCAAAATACTTTAGATCTGTGAAAGAGGCAAGAAACCGTCGTGGGTCTTAGGTTTATATTAATAACATTAGAAGTTTCCTACCATTGGGGGAGGGGCAGGAAACTCTCTCCTGGACATGACCTGCAATGTTTGACTGCCATGAACAGGAGGGTATGGATCACTAAGAATGCTTCATCCCTAATGCCCAGACATAGGCCTGCGTAAGTCTGACCCCAGACCAGGAAAACGGAGTCTTTCTAGTTCCCATCACCGGACTAACAAACACCAGGTAACAAAAAGAAGCTGACAACCACTGGAGGAGGGGCAAGAGCAAGGATTGAGACATCCTTTGAAGCACAGGTGTACAGAGAAGGTCTAAAGCGGTGGGTGGAGCAGGAACACTGAGAATAACCCTCTTTCCCACCCTAGGCAGAAGTGTGTGGTGCTCTGAAACTGACTAGCAGCAACAAAACTTAAACTCAGCTTAACTCCAAACTCCGACGATAATGTTCTAGCAGAAGAGGCATGTACATTTGCAGGCATAAATACTATGCACTTTTAGCTGTTAGTCTGCATAGGGATAGTAAGTAACCCTGTAAAACACACACAAACACACACACACACACACACACCATAATGCATTATATTTAAATTGTCAGAAGCAAGATATTTTTTAAAAATTATGGTAGCAAAGAAAAAAAAAGACATTTTGCTTACAAAGTATGAAATATGACTGACAGAAAACTTCTGGTGGTCAAAACTATACATGACAGAAAATAATGGGGCAACACCTTAAAGTGCTAAAAGAAAAAAGTTAAAGTCAATCCAGAATTCTATATACAGCACAAATAGCTCTAAAAGGGAAGGTGATATAAAGACTTTTTTTCAGACTATCAAAATCTATGACAATTTATTACTATCAGACTCACCCTGCAAGAAATGCTAAAGGGATTTTTCTTTAGGCGGAAAGTATATGATACTAGACAGAAACTTAGATTTATAAAAAGAAATAAAAATCTGTCTCCAGAAATGATTAAAATAAAATAAATATAAAGGTTTTTATTACTTTGAATTTCTCTAACAGATAATGACTGTGTGACTAATGCTATTTTCTCCTAAGACATAGACTTTCAAACTCAAGAGGACACAGAGTAACCAGAGTTGTTCTATACTTATTTGAAAAATAAATTTATAGTTAACACCTCCCAACAACAACAAAAATTCAGGTCCGGTTGGCTTCACGGTGAGTTCTACCAAACATTGTAGGAAGAAACAATAGCAGTGCTAATAAAACTCTTACAAAAGTCCAAGAGGAAGGAACATTTATGAGACTAGTATTACTGCGATAAAAAAAGACATAAATATTACAGTCAAAGAAAACTACACACCAATAACCTTTATGGATATGCACAAAAATTCTCAACAAAATGTTAGTGAATTAAGTATAGTAATATATAAAAATGATGATAAATCATGACTGAGTGCTGTTTTTTTCCTGCAGTACAAGGTTGTTTCAACATTGAAGAATCAATCAATGCAATTTATCCCATCAATAAATTATTGAAAAAAATGGGATCATTTCAATAGATGCAGTATAAACATTTGACAAAATTTAACATCCATTCATGTCAAAACTTTCAGCAAAGTATAAAAAGAAAAAAAATTTCTTGACCTGGCAAAAAGCATTTATAAAAATCTATAGCTATCATATTTATTCTGTAAAGGACAAGAGAATTTAAGGGGCTTTGCAATTAATGAATGGGCATAACTGTGTTCCAATGAGATTATTTAGAAAAAGTGGCAAAAGACCTGATATGGCCTGCTGGGTCATGGTTTGCCAGACCCTGTGGTGATGGCAAACATTTGTCCACATGACAGCATGCATTTGTCCACATTTTGTATATTTGCACCCTAAAAAAAAAAATAGTGCTATAATATTATTTTTTCTACATAATTTTCTTTTCTCTATAATTCTTTTTCCTATAGCACAAATTATGCAATTGATGTTGATCAACTGATATATAGACACAAATAAAGAAAATAGTAAATATATTGTAATATACTGATTGTAGTAATGTATGCATTACTCTACTTTTGTTTTTACATTTTCTGAATATTTGAAAAACTTTATAATAAAATTTTGGAAGAAATGAAAGAGTAGTAGGCATGATTGTCTACCACTAATTAGTGAAAACTGGCAATGGCTATTTAAAATTTACACTAAAGTTTTCTTTTAAATTTTAAGCTACATTTAAATTTATAACCTGCCGGATTTCAGATGAATTGATTATAGTGAATATATACCACTGCTTTGTTCTGGAATTGGTGTTTACATCGTAGCCTCCCCTTTGAGGCTTTTTTCTTAACTAAATCTTGAGAGCTCAGATACAAGGATTGGATCAGAGCTTGTAGGATTGGAACATAATTGGGGAGGTGACAATATTCACCACCTCTATATTGAAGAAAGAAGAATTTCAAAACTGAATAAGATATAGATGCATGCCCTGGATTTTAGAACTGATGGGCAACTTACAATTTATCTTATCCAATGAAGAAAAATGCTTGGCACACATGGAAACATTCCACTTTCCCATACACATCGTGCTTTTTCCTACTAACCTGGCTACCATCTCAGAATTTAGCAGACAACCACAACCTACACAAGAGAATTAAGGGCCAAATAGGCAGTGTAACTAATGCTATGCTACTGGTTATTGGAGAAACCAGGACTGAATCTGAATCTCCTAAACGCAGTGCATTTACACACCATTTTCTTATTCTTGAGATTCCACAATGTAGCTTATTTGTTTTGTCTTGCTTGAAACTTTGCCAACTCCTAGAGATGAGAAGTGTGCATGCAATTGTTAATTGAATGAATGCATTTCAAGTTCATTTTCAGCAGAAGGCACACTGATAAGACCTGGACTATGTCAGGTGAGTGAAGTCCCGGGCTCAACTCAACTAGCAACCATCTTTGTAATCTTAAGGAAGTAGTCTAATCTCTCTAGCTTTGTTATCTCACTTCAAAAAAGAAAGGTTTGGATTACACAGCTTCCAAAAAGTGTGATTCTACCCCTATTGTATAAATTGCCAGGCATTGCTTCTTCCTGTTCAGATGATCAAAATTTTACTAAAATGAGTCATCACAATAGCTGTCATAAGAAATTAAAAAATTGCCCTGTACAAGACGGCACAGACGTTCTGGTCTGCCCCAAATAGCAAAAATTGGAAGTGTGGTATTAAAAATATAGAAAGACAGCTTCTGGTCCAATGTAAGGAAGAATGTCAATTAGAGTTGCTATAAAATCAGTATGGATTATCCTGTGAGGTAGAGATTCCAACATAGTAGTGCCTGGAATGTCTGCCTTTCTTTTCTCCAGAAAAATTCTAGCAATGAGTAGAAACCTGGTCTATGTAATCTCTAAAGTTCATTCTACCTCAATAAATCTGTGATTCCATTGCTTTCAAATTCTTACGTATTATAAAATAAAATACATTTTAAAGTACCTGCTAACTAACAAGAGTATTTATATTTTTTTTTTATCACTTACAGATAAATTGAATTATCTCTACACAAGTACCTGCTTCTACTAAACTGGAAAGCCAAATGTAACTACTAACAGTCACCAAAATAAGTACCTTCAAATATTTTGTGGGTAATAAGAGGAAGAAAGACACTAGATAGAGCTAGTTGCTTCAGAAGACAGAACAAGGGCCATTGGGAAGGAGTTATAAAGAAGCAGTTC